AGGCCCCCTTAAGTGCCTTGGCCTGCTGGCTTTGCAAGGGTTGCTCAGCAAGCCAGCAGTGGCGGTAGTCCCCCGTCGCCCAGCTGGCATAGTTTAAAGCCCGGTGGAGCAGGTCAGCCAGTTTGGCTGAGAAAAGCCTCCTCCCCAGCAGAGAGAGGTCACAGGACAGAACTGAAGAGCTTCAGAAACAGTGCAACTAGCTTGAGGTTAGCAACTTATGGTCCAAAAGGGGGTAAGAAATAAAAAACATGAAAGAAAGATATAGGTCTGATGGTAGCTTGAAAAATGAATTATAACAAGACCTTCTTCCCAAAATACTTGCCAGACATAAAGGCAAGTGTTGGTGCTTGGCACTATTCACAAGAAAAAGAGATTAAATAAACCTGAAAATACTTAGAAACAGTAACACGTAAGTAAAAGGGAGGGTCTCTCCTTTGTACAAACCCTTATTTAGAAAAATGATTAAAATTAAAAGATGGCCAGATTTACCTGTTAGTGTTTAAAATAATTTATATAAGAAAGCGCAGAAATAAAAATGAGATTAAGAGAGATACAGTGATATGAAGGGAAAGAATGTTACACGATAGGTGTCTGCAGTGTGAGGGAAAGGGGTACAAACATGATATGGTAAATATCTTCCCACACTGTTTGCTCTGACTTTCTTAAGAAAAATAATTTGAAAAAGGTTCATAGGTGTAGTTATTCTAGATAGAGCCGGTAGCAACCTCAGTATTTACCATTATAAAGGATTCTAGCCGTATTTTAATGGATGTTCTGCCCAGAAGGACTTTATATATGCAGCCAGTGAAAAACTGAGGTGGGGACCTTGACTCATTCCATCTTGTACAGTGCCATGTTGTTGTATTTATACGATAGTATGAGGTCCCAATTACAATCAAAACTACGTTGTCTAATGGGCATAAAATACATAGGAAAGCACAATGTGAGTGTATAAAGAGAGAAGAGAAGTAGGGTCACAGTACAAAGAACCTCCATTAGCTATGTTACTGAGGGTGCAGGAATCAACCACCCTGATGCACAGGAAGACTAGCAAGTATGGCAGAAGACCAGCTTGGCTTAGCAGGGAACTCTTCAGTAAACTAAAACACAAAAAGGAAGCTTATAAGAAGTGGAAACCTGGACAAACAACTAGGGGAGAGTATAAAAGTATTGCTCAGGCATACAGGGATGAAATCTGGAAGGCCAAAGCACAACTGGAGTTGCAGCTAGCGAGGGACATGACGGGATAAAAGACAAGTTTCTACAAGTGTATCACTAACAAAAGGAAGATCAGGGAAAGTGTGAGTTGGAGTACTGCATCCA